ATTTTTAAGAAATGTAATTATCCCTCCTTTAAACAAAAACTAAAAAATATTATATAATGAAATATATTTTTTTAAAATTCTGATTTTAAGTTTTATTTTGTTTCTTCCAGAAAAATTTTTTATTGTTAAAGTTATAATATATTGTAAACAAATATAATGTGTTCTTATGTACTAATTCTGTAAATTTTTACTGGAATAATGTTATATATAGTTTAGTGAAATATAGGGGAAGACAGGGAACATTCGACCATGGGGAAGATTCGATCTTTTCAAATATTTCCCAGCATGATTAAAATTACCATTTAAAACTTTTATACATATTTTGTCTGTTAAGCTATCGCGGGAAATAATTATCGATTCATCCTTATAAGTATTAGTACTTAGTATATTTATAAGAAATGTTAACTATTGCTATAAAAGGTAATTTTTTTTATGTTTTAAATAATCCGCAAAGAATCTCTTTTCCAACTTTAACCTTCTAAACTTTTTTGTTGTTAATTGTTTAATGATATCTTGAGTTAAAAACCTTTGTGTTTGCTTTACTTCAAAAAATTGATTTCGGCCTTTAACAGCGTTTGTTTATATATAACACGTGTGGGGTACATTCGACCTACCAAGCTGAGGAACATTCAACCGGTGCTTGAAAATACCACGAAAATTTATTTCTATTATCTTTTAGATGCCTTGAAAATATCTAACAAAACAGATAGAAATAAAAGAAATGAAAATGTGATAAAAGAAAAAGTTATTGGCCTTTCCAATAATTCATTGTCTAAACCACAAGCCGAAAAAAGATTTCATGCCAGGATATTTCACAAATAGAATTCTCATAGGAGAACCAAGTCAAAGTCCAAGGGTAATAGGTAAACTATTACAAAATATTTTACCACTCTTACCTACCAATGAAACCTCCTCCTGCAACTACTAGAATAACTCTAACAATTAAAAACTGATTTTAAAACATGTGCGGCCCTTGCCTAAAGCTCCTCAAAGACAAAATAGGTAAAGAGGAAACAGACAGCGATATATGCTGACACTCCTGAAAAAAACGCTTTTAAAGTCTGCGACTCCAACAAAGACGTAAAAAACGGCATCGTTATTTTTATTTCAAAAATAACGGTGGAGAAAATAATAATTTTGAAGAAAAATGAAAAATATGTCACAAAAGTTGAGACATACTAAAAAGAAGAAGTCGAATTGTATGAGTATACATCAACTTTTATTGACGCCTCAAACATTAGCGGTTCTCATGACAAGACCTTTGAAGTCTTCTTTGAGTTTCCGCGTTCTTTATTTTCATTTAATTTCTATCATTATTTCAAAATAATCTTTAATTGTAAACATTATAACTTTATGTATTTGTATAATAATTTTCATGTTACAAAGAACAAAAAAAAAAAATCTTTACTAGAAGATAATGATAAAAAGATCAAAATCCTTTAACAAAGAGTTTAATCTTTGATTTTAATTAAATGTCATGTGTTTTATCACAGTTCATCACACCTTTTTCTTTAATTACGAATAATATGTATGGATTTTATCGCGACCTACATAAGAATCACAGTCTAAATAAAGAATGCAATGATCATTATCTTTGTAAACATTATTACATTGGCAATATCTGTAAAAAAAAATTCAACAAATATACTTATATTAAATTTAAATAAACAAACATTGTCAGTCTATAAGTTATACACAGTTGCGGAAAAAAGATCTGACCACCCATTATTTATTGGAAAAAAACGTTTTTCCATTGTATTGTTAAGGCATTTATTATTAGGAAACTTCTTAATTCAAAAAATAGCATTTTTTTAGTATTTAGCGTGTATCAGTAAATCAAACATTTCAATTCAAAACATAAAAAAAATATTGTTTTTCAAAGTTTTCAATTAACTTGCGGAATTGACAGTCTCATGATGTAAAAAATTTAAACCAGCACTAATGTTCGCAGCGATTGCAAA